TTCATACCAATCCCAAACAGAATGAAGGTATGACAAAACACAACACACATTCTACCACCACCAACTTTGACATATTTATTGATATAATCGATACCTCACAAGTCTTGACAATCACTCTTTTGGTATTACCACATCAAACCATGATATAAGCCCCCTTCATTATGTGATCATTCCACATACCTGTAACTGTGAAATGTCCTTCATATATATTACCATTGTATCACCAATCTTTACATGATACAATCACATATACTTTGATAAACACGATTTGTTTGTATGTTTTTATGCAGATGTATAATTTGTGGGAGGTGTGAGTTATGGAGACCGACTGCAGCAAAGTACATTTGCATTTGCATATAGAGGGCGCTATTTGCTTCACAATGCGCAAACAATTTTTGGCTGACTAAATATGATAAGTGTGATAAATAAGTGGATATATTGAACATTATTATCCCATATGCATTTATATATGTACGTCTTACTGCATCAATAAAATGGCTTAATATTTCCATTATATGGACAATATATTCCCTTTGTCCGATTTTGGTAGACTTTTGATATGTTGTTTATAGATGTTTGATTTGTTGCTAAATCTGCAAAGAAACTTTCTGTTGCAATTTTATCTGGGTTGACCTAAAAATCAAATTAGATTGACTGGACTACTAGCTTTTAAAGGACATCGGCTTCACAAGGTCGACGAACTTCTGACGTCAGCAATATATATGACGTCATCATGCATGTTGCAGTGATCTGTTACAGATGCAGATTTATATTTCATTCATTGTTTTTAAAATATTGTTGCTATACAGTAATACATTTCAATGGTAATTAAAGGTTATTGCATGGTTGGATATCTGCGGTAGGTAAAATCAGTGCTTAAAAACAATAAATCTTCAACATGCTCTAAAAAAATTGCCCAACGGTTTAGGTCTTGGGTTTTTTTTGGTCATTCTCAATGACCTTAGCTAACGTTTGAAACAACATTCGCTAATGTACTATTTTATTCCGGATCAAACCCTAAATCCACTTGACTAGAAGCTTCCAGGCTGGAAGTTGTCGACATGTTGCAGGGTAAGGGTGAAAAAGTTTACTTATCATTTACAACTGTATGTTTTTTTATTTCGCTTGCATGCTGGAAGCGTCTACGTCTTGTCTGTGTTTTTTTTTAGTTTGCGAGGCTATTTGATAGCGCTTGAGGTAAGCAAACAGGGTCCGGGACAGGAAGTCACACACCGCCGCACCGTAACTGAGGCCAGCAATATAACATCAACAGTGACTTGAAAATCAAAGAGCAACGTAAACAAACTTTCGGGACTTTTAATCACATACGCGTGCCTCGGTTCCCTATAATTGTTTTTTGAGTATGTTCCAGCATGGGTTTATAGTTCCATGGTTCCAGCATCGACAATACTTCGAAATTTTAACACTACTTAGCCAAAACTGTCTGGGTAAGAAGAAGCAGAATAAAAATTCACTCCTAGTGCCCACGAACCTGCATCTGTACCTTAATAATAATTGTATAACCATTAGTGTAACCAGTAGTGATAAGTTTGACTAGAAACCCTGTATAATCATGTAGCAATCTGACATTGGGGTTTCAAGTTTCAAGACCAATAATATACATATTGTAACATATTTACCTAACACCTGCGCACGCGCGGGAATTGAGTACCAGGCGACGATAACAACACACGCTAAAAACGCAAAGACTCATGGGTAGATGTTTGTTTGTAAACAATGACACGCTTTGGCCACCTGACGCATGCGCTGGTGACGACTCCCCAATGTCCAGCATTATAATACCATGGACAGAGCATCGTGGGTATTATCAGAGGTACATTACTTGGAGTTTGAAACTCCGGTGACATGATACCAAGATCCCGTTTCAATCTCGCTCTCGCATAAGCGTTCCAACTCAGAAAAATGCGAATGCGCATGCCCGAAGTAACTAGGGTACTGGGTGGATCAGATCAAAATACCTGCTCACGATATGACGCTATCTACGAGATGAGACTTGAATGGGATCTTGACATAATGTCACCACACAGTACTATGCGCGTTGCAAACCCCAAGTAATGTACCTCTGGTATTATCTAGTGAACTGTGTATAAACTCCAAAATGGCGAGTGGCTATGTTCACATGTATTTTACTTTAAAAAATATTCGCATTATAGCGTTCATAATACAGAAAACAGCAAAATATATAATGAAGCAGAACATCGTCTTTCACCGACGATTTAACACAAACAGTGAATAACATCGAAATGTTATTATATGATGTACACTACATAATGTCTTCGTTTTTTTTTCATTTTCTGTAATCACTATTTCTTTTGACTAATGAATAGTCAGCAATAATGTAACACACTTTATCCTAGTAGCCACCATGAAAGTTATAATAGTCATATATTGTGTTTTTTTCAAAATAAAAACAAGTGAATTATTATAATCTATAGCCGAATGAATTTGTTAAGATGATACATTGCCACATATGCATGCTGGTTTAATACATACATGATTATTTTATATATATCGTTCATCAATGCTTCAAGTGCTTCATGTGTAGATGATGTGGATCGCATAGTGCGCATGACGCAAGAAAATTCCTATTGAAAATATTAGTTGTAGAAAAAGAATAAACATAGGACAAAGGTATGTCTGTAATAAATTGCGGTGGCAGATTTTGAATGTAATATTGATTGAAAGCATTTTCTAGGCAACTTACTTACATCTGTAACTGTACTAATGCAATGTTCAAAATAAAAAATACCAAGAACTTGCGTGAAAAGGTAACTTACAAGTGTACCTGGGTCTAGAGAACGTCCCATCTTTATTCGTCTGGTAGGATGTGATATGGTTATGTGGGTTGTGACGCCACTAAATAATCTACATATTTGTGTTCTTTATACCAGTAGAAAATGTGGATATTCATAATATTCGGATGAAATCTTGTACATAATTAAAGAAAACAATTTTGGTCTTTGTTTTTGAATTTTGAATTAAATTAAACATTTTTGTTATTTAAGTTCTGAAATGCAGAGTATGAATGGAGATTCGTTAGAAGTACTATTTGAAACCTCTGACAATTTGAACAGTCACATGATTATTGTGATGTTATTTTAGCTCATAAGTCATATATCGTTTTAACTGCTTGAAAAAAAAAGTTAAAAAATACTACAAATCATTTTCATAATTATGACACAAATTAGCATTCTGTCAATAAATTGGCATTATTGAAAATTGCGTAAAGGTATTGCCAAGCTATAGTATAAGTCATGTGACCTGATGTATTAATCTGTTTTTAGCAATGAAGTTTCAATTATAACCTATCCTCGGGGGCGGACATCCGGGCATTTTCACCGCCTGGCAATCCGCGGCGGTGAAAACAAAGGCCCAAAACTCGCAGAAAACGGTACTTTGGGATGATTGTTGAGATTCCTCTGAACAGTGTAACAAGATTAGCCCTACGTGCGTAACATATATAAATTTGGTTGTTCGGGATTACTTCAAAGTTGAGTTTGTATTGTTTTCTCGAATTTTCACCGACTCGACCGTCGTTCCACAGCAGCGCGCACAGAGCCCATAGAAATGCATGTACAGTGGTGCGCGCCGTAGCAACGTAGAACGTCCGTGACGTAGCTCCGCCCCCGAGCATATACCAACGATGTTGTTTATAACACTGCCATAAAGACTTTCCGTTTTCGGCGTTGTGAAATTCTTTCGTTTTTATCGTATTCATAATTCAAGACAAATAAAAGACACAAACATAGAGAATATAGCCTGAGCACATTACATTTTCTGTAGTATACTTGTGTAATCGGTAATTATGAAAAGTGTTATGGGTGCACAGGAAATAAATTTTGTTATGAATTGTTTTTAGTATAAATCCTGAATTATCTTGTCAAACTTGTTAGGCCCCGCCCCAAAGACGAAATAATGTCGAAAACGGTAAGTTTTATCGTAGTGTGTTATGACCATTTAAGTTTTCATTAGCCAGGGGGCAGGTAAACTGAATTTGTTGTTTCGACAATAACAAGTCCTTCAAGCAATCAGAAAGACACATTGTAAGTATGTATACCAGGTACGTCATGCAAACCAGCTTCTAATTTCCCGCATCTACATCACAGAGAGATGAGGTGAATATTAGCATACTGAATTAACCATTCACATATTGAATTTAGAAAGCACAATTCCCCGATTTACAGATGTAGCCTTTGAAAGGGCGTTGAGGTTCAACTGTTGCAGCTATCAAATGATGTTTTTTTTTGTGTTTTTTTGTTCAACAGAGCCACTTGTTAGTCTAAATAATATTTTTCTCAATGTAGTAAATAGCATGCGCATACAACATGTAATATCTATTTTTTTCATAATTATATATTACAAGACAGTGTACAATTATTTAAATTCTGCATGAGATTTAGAATTTAAACGTTTTTGTGAGTTAAAAAAATAAGGAAATCAGTTGATTTGGCAACAAACATTTTATTGTTGTAATCATTTAAGACTACTTTTTTTATTTTATCTAAATTCGGTTCGAGGATTCTGTTGGATATTATTTCTCACGAACTGTTTGCGAATTTTGTTTACTACTTGTTTCTGGTTGTTGTATTTGTGTGTCAGTAGTTGGTGTACCACTACCGTATTATTGTTCAGAAAATCCTGACCTATCCACAATTTCTGACATACTAGTAAATAATGGGATTTCACCCATCGGGCCCCCATTATCAACATTGTATTATCCAAAAAAACAACAACAAAAAACAAACAATAACACATGAAACATAGTAAACAATGGTGGAAAATGTCGCTCTACAACAGAGCTGGCACTTTTCTCTCAAGTTATTACATCAATATCTTGTAATTGGAACGCATTCTTGTTAGATTTTTTTTAAATTTTTCTTCTAATATTTAAAAAAATACTATATATCAGTGGAACAGTACATCTGTACACGGAGGCCCACACAGAAACAGTGTATCCATATATCACGTGATCTTCGTCGTCACCAGGACGGATAGTGGAAAGTAATATTTCGTCTTTCTTTCCATTTCTGAAAAACCTCTTTTTCTGTGATGTATCTATGGCCTCCCATCATCTTGTACTCTTGGCTTTTATACATCGTGCATTCATCGAGTCCGTTAGGATCGTAGTAATGGAAGGGAATTGTATCGTTGTCGGCAGTTTGGGGATTTCTGTAATAAAAATATATAAGTCAGTTTTGTTAAAGGGCGGAAGTCGTCGTGCCGCGTCCTGTTCGATATGGGACTCATAGCGACGTATACAACGCGTGTAAAATACAATGTTTATTTACATGAAATTCGAACACGCGCTGCGCGACGACCACCGCGCTTTAATCATTTGATGGCCAGGACACTATATCATACACAGTTTTCTGAAACTAGGGTTTACTTTGAGTCCGCGGCAGTAACCATGACATTCGTTTGAGTAAAAGGTATCCAGCAAATTGTCCGTCATCGTGATTCGTTCAAACCAAATCTGCCAATCGCCATACCAATTGTATGATTGTATTTTTATCACATCTATGTCTGGAAATGGCTATGAATATATTAACATTGATTATTATACGAGATTTGACACTTGTCACAAAAACACCTGAAATAACTTTATACAAGGAATATGTTAGCATTGATTATTATACAAATTTTAGCTCTCGGTACAAAGACAAACGAAAGAGTTCTATCGTGAATATCTTATCATTAAATATTACACAAGATTTGACATGCGTTACAAGAACATCTGAATATCGGTCGGCCTTTCAAATATATATAATCTGGCAATGGGGCACGTGAGTCGCGCCCTCAACGGCAGCGATGGCATATATTTTCTTTCTTCTGGTATGTATTAACTAGGAGATCGTAATTGTTGTTATTCAGTACTTTTACTAGTATACTAGTATATGAGACTTTTTGGTGATTATTTTTTTACGCAACGTTTTTAGAGCATGTTTTTATTTACACGCAGTTGATGCAAGACGCCCAAGTAGTTGCTGGAGGATTATCACTCTACACCCACAAATGAAATGCAGAAATGATGACGTAACAGATGACACCTTACTGGCAATGTTGAGGCGATACCATTCCGTACATATGGATTTCATCACACAGATGGAACGCAAGAACTAAACTGTAAAATCCGGTAGAAATCCACGATCCAGAACCATGCCTGAAATAGAAATAGACCAAACGTAACTGAGATGGTCTTCCAAGCAATGTGATTATTTACGCTTACATACAAGGGCGTCGTTAGACCTAAATTTCTGAGAAAATTCAAGATACGAAAAAAGGACCCTAACATATACAATGTTTTCACTCATGAAACAAAATTTCAACGATCGGAGCCAATTGAAAAAACGTTCTAATACTGACAATAGTAGCGCGTGTGTAGATTTACGATAACAAATACACAATATTTATTTGAGATGAGCCAGACTTGTTTTGGTTTTGATATTCATTAATAATTAATAAAATATTAATTAATTAAATTTTGTCCAATTACACGTGTTCAAGCATATACAAAACATATTATGAATCAGAAGGATTAAACAAACGAAGTAAAATATTACCTGCTTTTACCAGTTTCCCTTTCAAATAACAACTCTACAAAATCCATTTCCCGTTCTGTCAGAGAATACACAGCAATGTCGGGGTTGTTTTTAACAATATTCATCAATTGCCCATACGTCCGACCTTTCCCCATATTATCGTCGTCGGATACGGTGAGTAAAATGGACGGTGCCCATACTACCATGACTTTAGGTCTTCCAGGTCCGTGTAAGAGATATCCCATGGTACGTAGGAAGTCTATTGCTTTAAACGACATCACCCTGATTGTAGTTCGTTGGCCTACGTATCGCTCGTATCCTTGTATAGGGGAAGTGTTCATACGAATTACGCACGTTGCGTTGTCTATTTCTTTGCCGCTCTCTTGGTAAAGTAAGCGACCCGCAGACGACACGAGTGCGCATGTCTGACAGCGGAAGTTTATTGGCTGAAACAAGAAGACGATAACATACAGTTTTGTAGGTAATATATTTCAAATTGTGGATATTCAGTGTGTAAATCGTATTGGTCCAAATTTCGCAAATATAACTTTCACTGATTTTGGGCGGGAAAATATATGTCGGTGAGAGAAAAAAGTGTTCCCGAAACCACAACCGGGCATACAGATATACTTACATTTTTGTCAGGTACGGAAATGTATTCATGCGGGTCAAGGTCTAATGGGTCACCTTCGTATCCTCTGATGTCGTCTGCCATATTTTTTTGGAATTTATCAAAATAGTTCTTCTTGTCAACCTGAGGAATATGTCCTTTGTCTGACGATTCTGTCCTTGGCGAATGACTTCTAAAGTTATTTTCACCTTCATATTGGTCCATACTAATGAACATTTTAAGTTTAGCTCGAACTATATAGATGAATAAGAATGCGAATTGAAGAACGAGTAATACCAGCAAACCACCAATGACTTGGTGCCGAACAGAAACATTCCTCAGAGCCATGACGTCACAAGTCTATAATATCTTCAGAACTGAATGGTAATAATTATTCCCTGCATCACGTGACGTTGAACGTTGAATCGTATGACAGCATATGTTATCTGACGGTGTACACAAATAACATTCTGAAATTAACTACAGACAGGAAAAGATATCACATAGCGGATCGTCACTAGTGTAAGGGTGATATTTATAGACAGTCATAGACTATGGTTTTAATCTACAAACGAAATGTACGGAAATGACAATAAAGCACATCCACTCTCTATACCTAGACGATAGTACTAACAAAACATGCAAATACTATTTTAATAACATAAAAATAAACTAATCACAATATACTTGTAATAATTACTGAGTTTAAACCATCTGTATTACTGCATTTAGCTTAACCAAAAACAAGTTTTAACATAAATTGAATAAAATCATATATGTGGTATAGAAAACATGAGAGATAATACATTTGAATGCAAAATAGTATTCACCATCTGCGGGAAAGTTATATGGGTCGTGCATGTACAGAGGATGTTAGAAGCTAATTTACACGTTTCATGTTTATTTATATATGTGCATGTAATTTCGTTTGACAAATTTGTTCCAGAGAGAGAGAGAGAGAGTGTGTGTAACTGGGTAGGGTGTTGTGACCATTATTTTACTAGGTTTTAATTATGTGCAGAATTATATTATGCAAGTTATTTGTGACGTCAGAGATTCGAATTGCGCATGCCCATCACTGTCGGTACGCATTCACTGCACGCTATTTCAAGTTGTCTTTTGCGTTGCAGTGTAAACGAGGGCGCTTCTTTACAGTGGCGATGTGGATTTGCCGAGTTAAAAGTTCGAATCCCAAGTTGATGAGTATATGTTAGTATACGTGTCTGTAAATTTATATTATCCTCGGGGGCGGAGCTACGTCACAGACGTTCCACGTTGCTAAGACGCGCACCACTGTACATGCATTTCTATGGGCTCTGTGCGCGCTGCTGTGGAACGCCGGTCGAGCCGGTGAAAATTTGAGAAAACAACACAAACTCAACTTTGAAGTAATTCCGAACAACCAAATTTATATATGTTACACACGTAGGGCTAATCTTGTTGCACTGTTCAGAGGAGTCTCAACAACCATCCCAAAGTACCGTTTTCTGCGAGTTTTGGGCCTTTGTTTTCACCGCCGCGGGTTGCCAGGCGGTGAAAATGACCGGATGTCCGCCCCCGAGGATAGATGAATCTTCACCTGAAAAGTGTTCCTTCTTTATTGCTAGTTCAGATTGTCACAAGGAGGTCTTGTCTGAGTCACCACTAAATTATTCTACTTATAGAGGTGTGGGGCAACACGTATCTTCATCATTCAAATACTTATAAACCGTACCAGGATATTCAAGTTTTCCTCGAGCACTCAGCCCCCTTATTTGCACATTTGATATCTATAAATTGCATCAATCTGATTAAAATAAGATCCTACATGTATTTTTGACTTTTTTAATTTTTTTTTCTAATTTATACAAAATAATTAAAATAAAATAGTAAAAATAAAATAAAATAAAATACACGCCGTACAATACATCAGATTGTAATCAGATTGTAAATTGCACAAACTCGCTATAGGATCTTTCATTCACGATCTAATCCGTAACTGTCCAGCTTATTGTCTATCTCAATATTTCCAATTTATTAATCACCATGATTATACTACAGAACAGCGCCACCATAGTTACCTTTATGTAAACTATGCCAATAATACATCCGGGTAGTTTACAATATCTCACTCAGGTCCCAATATTATTATTTAACACATCCACCCTTAATACACTCAAACGGACCCATTCTTATATGAAAAAAAAATACCAAAACTTTTTCACAGGTGGCTTTTCAGCATGGGCCCGAATAACTTCGATTCTAGTATTTGAAATACTTAACACTGTATCAGGGATTACTCAGTAACTAGGTATAATCAGGAAAAAGATGACAAACGAGTGAAAAATGTCAAGCCTGGTGTCAAGCAAATTCTGGACATTAAAGCGGGGGGGGGGGGTCGTCACTGCGCATGCGTCAGATGGCCATAGCGTGTCATTGCTTGCAAACAAGTGTTGTTATCGTCGCTTGGGACTCAATTCCCGTCCCGCTTTAATCCAGCTGAACAAGTCAAAGAATGAAATTGTCAAATATTGTTTGATACCAGAGTTATACACCCTTCCCCAGTGAACGACGTAGTCCAAGAAGAGAACAACACAAAAGCGCGAGTAAAAGTTAGTTTACAAAAGGCAATAAATATTGACTAGTTTTACACCACGTGATTGACAACACGAGTACGGTAACCAATCAGCGAACGTGTTGCAGCTGGTGATTTCTTGCATTTTCTGTAGTAAAATATGTGCTGCCTTTTGTATATATCAATTTCTTTGCCGTATTATTTTACTAGTGTAAACAGATGATGGGAATTAAGAGAATGATTCGTTAATGAGGAAAATATGTTGATCTTGCCTAGTATTACAAATTGAATTAAAATAGCCAGTGTGTAGCTAACGTAGCTAACAGCACAGGACACCAGTAAGCTGTTTTGGACTATGTCCTCACACCAACAACATAACATGTAAAAATACGAAGCATGAAGCGCAATATGCCGCGCAACTAGCGTGCAATCTGGAGCACCACTAGGATCATGATGAACAGATAACCATGGCGACAGACACAGCCGGGGAGTATGGTAGTCACGCCCGGAAATAACTCGTCATAAATAAATAAAACAAATGTTATTGAATTCACCTGCCATAACGAACATACTGTCTAAAAACACGTCATAGTTTCAGCTTACATAAATAATAGGAAATTACCGTAAAACGTTCATATATATTAAAAAAGTAAATTATTAAAATATAAGCATGACTCACCTGGTCACACAGGAACAAAGATAAATGGCTGAGTAACATTTATAATTGACGGCAACAGCGAACTAGCAGGGTTGACCAGTAACAACTCTATGTGCCTACGTACAAGCTTGGAGTCAGGTTTGTGTCGTTTTCACGGGGAGTGGGGGGGGGGTGAACAGAGAAAGGGGCAGCCCGAAACGGGAGTAGGAAATTCACTGTAGAATTTTCACAATTATGAAGTATTTGTCATTTTTGTAGAGGCATGGGTGACTGGATAGTAAATATTTTAACAATCAACACATCAGGGACGCTGCAAATTGGACTTTGATCCCAGATACTGGCAACAGCTGCACCACTCGGACAATTCGGGCGCCCTCTATGTCAACATTCTCCAGATCTACAATGATAAACTACACTGTACACTGTACACATTTGTGATTTGCGAACGCATTTACATAGTCACGATTAATTTACCGATATTTATATATGGGACCCGCCTTCTTGAATACAAATCTGAATCATATTCAATAAGTCGGCACTCAAATAGTAAATATTTTTTTTATTTTGTTGAAAACAGTACAGATAGTTTTCACGATAAATATCTTTGTATCCTCGGGGGCGGACATCCGGGCATTTTCACCGTCTGGCAACCCGCGGCGGTGAAAACAAAGGCCCAAAACTCGCAGAAAACGGTACATTGGGATGACTGTTGAGACTCCTCTGAACAGTATAACAAGATTAGCCCTACGTGTGTAACATATATAAATTTGGTTGTTTGGGATTACTTCAAAGTTGAGTTTGTGTTGTTTTCTCGAATTTTCACCGGCTCGACCGGCGTTCCACAGCAGCGCACACAGAGCCCATAGAAATGCATGTACAGTGGTGCGCGTCTTAGCAACGTGGAACGTCTTGTGACGTAGCTCCGCCCCCGAGCATATAAATGTCAGAATTCACAAATGATGATGGTTGTCAGAAGTTCATGTCAATCTTGATTTTAACAGTACGTCAGCCACAACGTCATACACGCGTCGCAAGCATGCGAAGATTTGTCACATGCTATTTTATTACATAACCAGGTTACATCTTTTCCCACTAAATCGGTTTCTTTTTCCCATGATTCTGGGCCATGAATGGTGTTCTTTTATCTTTTCGGTGCAAATCCCAGGATGGGTGATGGAACGTTGTGTTATAAACTCTGGCCCATTTCTTGAACACGTATTTTTCGGTGAAAAATCGATGGGTATAACGTTGTCCGTGTTCTTGGCTCCTGGAAAAGTCACATTCTTTCGGACCGTTTACCTCATAGTAATGTTGCAGCGTATCTTTTGAACTCGAAGGCTGAATTCTGAATCGAATCAAATCGAATTAGGAATATATGATACATTACAAGAAACGGCACTACAATGATAATAACACGATGATTTTGTATGAATTTTGCTTACTTGTAGCAATGATCCGACTCAATAAAGCCGTACATGTTTAAACGGTCACATATCTTCAACGCTAGTAACATGGTGTACCACCCAGTACTCAGCCATGTACCTGATGACTTTCTGCAAACATATAATAATTCGGAATAAAATATGGATGATTGTGTGGCCTCTCTGTAAATGTCATATATACACGCACCACACTGGTGTTACAGTAATGGTTTGTTCGTTTGTCACATTTAAAGAGGTAATAACCTTAAAAGGCGGTAGTCGTCGTGCCGCGCATGTGCGACATTTGTGTTGATAAACATTGATTTTCCCACAATCCAGTGCGCTCTTCTATTGGAAATCATAAGTACGGGTTTTGATCTTGGCGCAACGTTAACTAATTACCGCCTCCAATCACCGAATAAATTTCGTAGTTAAAGCTTGGTATCAGTTTGTACTCGTTGCTCTGCGCAACAGTCAAATACGCCATCTTTGTTCATACGAGTCCCATATCTCGCGCACGGGTGGCGCGATGACCACCGCCCTTTAAGTATTTTTGGCTTGTTTAAATTTTCTGTTTCGAAATTGCATTTTGAAAAAAACATTAGTAAATGATTTATCGGGAATTTAACTGAAACCCCTTGCGTCAGCAAAATTTGCCCCTCAAAATGCAGGAAATAGCGTTTCAGAGTCTAGATTTCAATTTTTTTAAGAGGGAGCATGCGAGGAATGATGAGCAGATCTCGCCCCTCCACGCAAAATTTCGTGCCACCACCTCTGAGATACAAGACCAAATATCAAATGTTATCGAGATTACTTGTTTAAACATTATTATGTCATATTTAAGCAATTTTTTCCTGCATGAGCAGAAAGAAAAGAACAGAATATCACCTCTCTTTTCCAGTTTCCAGTTTCCAGACAAGATCGGAATAATCAATTTGTTTTACTGTTGTTATATACGGGTCTAGTGTTGGGTATTGCCTCCTCAACCGCATGGTTTCCCCTCTCACCAAAGAGCGTACAGTTTTGTGATTGCTAATCCAGAGAACCAACGTCTCTGACATTCCACCATCCTGCATGAGTCCTTGTCGTTCAAACATTCTGTACAACACCATGTCAAAACTGGCCAAACGTAAAGTTGTCTTCGTTCCAACATCTTGTTCGTAACCACGAGTCGGGGATGTATTCATTCTGATAACACATGTATTGTTGTCGATTTCAGCTCCGGCACCCGAACCCAAAATCTGACCCGAGGAGGACACGAGGGCACATACATCGCAGTGGAGGTCCAACACCTGAATAAAGAACAGATTTTGGATACCATTGGTTGAAACTGAAGTCGTCTTATGTTTAGCAAGAGAGATAAGTGTGCGTGTCAATTACATATGTTCAAAGGATGACAAGATAGTTTGCAGTAACGCAGGCCTGAAATGGCTACTAAGTATTTATAATTGGCTGTAACGTTTCCCGTATATGATGACTTGACCTTACCTCACTTTCATTTCGCATCCTGACATAGCCTATAGGATCCTTTGAAAACATGTCAATGACTCGTTTCTTCAGCAATACATCTTTATTTGCTGCTACTTTCATCATATGATATTTGCCCACGTCCTCTGCGGACAGTCGCTTTGTTTCCATTTTTGTTATAGCCTCTTGAAGATCTGACCATCTTTCACCACACAAAAATTGGTCTTGCGCTTCTGAATCGCTGTTAGTTGTGAGTCTGCCACGAGAAATGCAGGGAAGTGTCCGGCCCTCTACGTCAAGATAGACTAATTTATGCGTTTCATCTGAAGTTTCTCGATGAAGTTTATCATTCGATGCGTAATAAATTACGCAAATAAAGATAACTGCAGAAACAACTAAAATAATTCTACGATTTCTAGCCATTTTTGCATTATCTGAAAAAGAATTACAATTTTATCTTTACTAATTGTTGAATAAATCCCATATATCTCATAATAAATGAATATCTATAAGAATTTAGTATAAAACGAGGAAGTTTTGTGAAATAAGATGTGCGTATCGTGACGCCAATTATGTTTTAAATATTATTAAACATATGCCAAGCCACACACAACCACATGTCGTTGTGCCAAGCCACACACAACCACATGATGTTGTGCCAAGCCACACGTAACCACATGTCGTTGTGCCAAGCCACACACAACCACATGACGTTGTGCCAAGCCACACGTAACCACATGTCGTTGTGCCAGGCCACACACAAACATATGTCATTATGCCAAGCCACACGTAACCACATGTCGTTGTGCCAAGCCACTCACAACCACACGTCGTTGTGCCAAGCCACACACAACCACATGACATTGTGCCAAGCCACATTTAACCACATGCCGTTGTGCCAGGCCACACACAACCACATGTCATTATGCCAAGCCACACGTAACCGACATGTCGTTGTGTCAAGCCACACCCAACCACACGTCGTTATGCCAAGCCACACCCAACCACATGTCGTTGTGCCAAGCCACACGTAACCACATGACATTGTGCCAAGCCACACGTAACAACATGTCGTGCCAGGCCACACACAACCATATGTCATTGTGCCAAGCCACACATAACCACATGTCGTTGTGCCAAGCCACACACAACCACATGTCGTTGTGCCAAGCCACACATAACCACATGTCGTTGTGCCAAGCCACACACAACCACATGTCGTTGTGCCAAGCCACACGTAACCACATGTCGTTGTGCCAAGCAACACATAACCACATGTTGTTGCGCCAAGACACACACAACCACATGTCGTTGTGCCAAGCCACACACAACTGCATGTCGTTGTGCCAAGCCACACACAACCACATGCCGTTATGCCAAGCCACACACAACCGCATGTCATTGTGCCAA